CTAGAAGCGTTAGCTCACCCTGAAGATCCGGTGTGACAAAGACTAGCTTGAGTTACTGTTGAGTCGAAGATGACAGCACGTTTGCTGCACTCCACAAATAACAAAAAGAAAACATAAAAGTAGGGGTCAGTACAAACCACGGGTACTGAGTAGATATCATCGGTCAACTCAAAATAGCGAACAGTATATATCGAGCAATATCATAAATCAACTATAAAACTCAACATGTAGCAACAACAAGTATTATAATCATCAATAAATACCATCAAGTTCATCCATGAGGGCTCAAGCCTCAATACCATACTCATTTGGGAATTATATTCATTAGATTGAGTATATTAACATCTTTCAAGATTCATTATCTTTCTTCCTCTTGTGTCGGTACGTGACACTCCGATCCCCTACTACTATGTGTCGGTACGTGACACTCCGATCCCCTAATTCTATGTGTCGGAACGTGACACTCCGATCCCCTACATGTGTCGGTACGTGACACTCCGATCCCCTACATGTGTCGGAACGTGACACTCCAATCCCCTACATGTGTCGGTACGTGACACTCCGATCCACTAATACTATGTGTCGGAACGTGACACTCTGATCCACTAATACTATGTGTCGGAACATGACACTCCGATCCACTAATATCATTCTGTAAATCATCAAGCCTTCTCTATTCCAAGGCATCATCAATCCCATTACTTTAATTCATCAAGCCTTTTTCTATACCAAGGCATCATCCATTAATAATGTATATTAAAGTTTCTTTTCAAGATTTGGGATTCAATATTTTCATCATGTTATCTTATCACAATCACATAATCATATTCATGCAAACATACAATTAAGCATATAGTAGGGTTTACAATACTACCAATACATATCATTCTCTATTAAGAGTTTACTATGAAAGCATGAAAATCATAACCTACCTCCACCGAAGAATTGGAATCAACAAGCAATTTCCCAAGCTTTGATATTTTCCTCTTCTTCTCGATCGTTTCTCTCTCTCCCTTCTTGTTCTTTCTATTTTCTTATTCAAACCCTCTTTCTTTTACCCTAATTAACATATAATTAATTGTAAAAGATGGCAATAATACCCCACTAATTAACCCAAAGTTACCTCTTTTATCCCTCAAGAATTTGAGTTATTAATATAAACCCACGAAATCTATAATTAAGGCAAGAATAGTCAAAAACGTCCCTTAAAACTTAACCAGAAATCCGATTCTGCCTGGGAATTTGCGCAACCTGTGACGGGCCGTCGTGCCTGCGACGGTCCGTCCTGCTGTCCGTCGCATAGTTCAGAGAGTCAATTTCCACTAAACAATCTATGACGGTCCGTCACGCCTGTGACGGTCCGTCCTGCCATTCCGTCACGAAGTTCAGAGAGTCGATTTTCAGTACCCAATTTCAGATTTTCTAAGTGTTTTGAAACGAGACCATGCGACGGTCCGTTGTGGGGTCCGTCGCCTCAGCCTGTTTTTCCAGAAATAAAATTTGCTGCTCAAAACGACTAAACAGGTCGTTACAATATACAACTTCTCGAGGAATATATTGTTACATATGAAAATATTTGTTCTGTATATCATTGTGCTTAATACTATAGTTATCTTCTACAAGTAAAAATACAAGTACATTATCAAAAATACTATGAGACATCGAATATATGTATCCTTAAATGTATCTTGATTTATCATTTCAATAAGTTGAGCTACACTGCACTGCTAGCACTGCTAGGTATTCTATAACCAACCTTGGCTATTCCACAAACCACATAGTAAGAAGCTATTATGATATACCTTCAAGAAGCTAGTAAAAAAGTGAAAGATAATCAACTGAAGAAACTTGAAATAAAGAAGGCTACAAAAATTAGAGCAGATGGCTATAGAATAAAAAATGCATTTGTCTCACCTAGGAAAAAGTTCAACAAAGAGAACTGGTTTACAATCCTTATTCATATTGAAACAAAAATCAGTAACCTTCTCCGACTAAGGAAATTTTCAAATCACGATAAGCAGAAAAATAAAAGTATCATATAAAAATTGTGTGCTAAAAACTTAATGTTTCTATTTCTTGTGGAAAAATAAACTTGGCGAGAATAATGTGTAGCTCTGTTAATATTAAAAGAAAAGAGATGTAGAAAAAAGCATGTTAGGAACCTGAATCAACTCTCCCGCAACTGTAGGATCGGATAAAAATAATTGTCGAATAGCAACCATGAAGAAGAAAATGCAAAATTAGCTTAGAGAAAACAGTAACGAAAAAACATCAAATATCCATAATTTAGATTCCCCGCTACATTGGTAACGAATATCCTTTCTTGGATTTTTTTTATATACATAAATTTGATTTTTACAAATCATTCACCATTCTCATCTTATTTGTACTCAACAAAGCTATCTTTATTAAATGACTTCACAAAGAACAATTTTTATGAGTTGAAAAGAAATACACTAATTCCACTCGCATTATTTGTACTCAAGAGGATGGCTGTAATGCATATATTGTCCCACCATTAGAGACAAAACATTGATTTCCAGAAGAGAAACGGAAATTAAAAATTTGGGAACTGAAAATTTAAGGATGTGTTCAATTCATTACGTAGCTGATCCAACCACAAAATAAAGCACAGACAGATCAAATGCATCCATTATAGAAATGCTAGAGCTTATGAACAACAACCAACATCAGATGAAGATACAAAGAAACTAATATTATACTTTGCCCAACTTTGTACTTAAACATAAGTTAGATGTAGGAAATAAAGAAATCAATTCCCTAGTTAATGATTAATGTGATCCTTTGGTGCAAAAGGGCAATGTAATTCATAATTGTTAACACAATAAAGTAATTAAGGAAGATAATGTTTGTTTTTCTTTCTCTAATAATCACTTAGTAGATAAGATGAACTACACAATACACTTCAATAAAATATCAACAAACAAAATTTTGACAACCAAAATTGCGGAATATGAAAATTTATAGATCGATGGGGGGGATGAGCCTATTGTCAAAAAGGAATTTTCACATGCTTATACCCTTTACGTGTGAAGTCGTATTGAGTACATTAATAAGTAAACGCAAGTTCACTCTGAAGAATTTAAGCTTAAAAATGAGATAATTATACAGGAGGTGAGAATTTAAGGTTATACCATGCACAAGTCGAGAAACGCATGCATCTTCAAGAACTAAGCTTAGTAACTCCTCGATGAATTTCCAATCAATCATTTCACCCCGCCAACATTGGATTAAGACCATAAATTCCTTTACAAAAAATATAAATTAAACAATTACATGGATGAAAATAGTTTGTAGATACAAAGTGGCATAATATGAACCAAAAAGAGAGGAGCAACTTGATACGCTCAAACTTACTTCTCAAATGAGAAGTAAAGCGGTCGTGTCAAGTAAATAACCCAATAAGTGAGGTTGAGATCGTTCCCACGAGGAAAATAGTCTAGACTTAACCTCAACCGATTATTACTATCCTTTGGTCAATAACTTCCTTGGAAAGTAAAAATATAAAAAGGGGGGTTCTATCTCTAAATATGTGAAAATAAACAACGAACTTGAAAGAGACACTTAACAGCTTTTACGGTTGGGTTTTAATCAATTAATCAAAGTAACTAGGGTTTACGTGTTCCCCACAGGTTCATAACTTGATAACTCTAACTATAACAATTCTTTCCTAGTATCTTGCATGCAAAGTGATAAGTTATGTATTTCTAAATTCTTGGTCCGGCATCTAGAAAATCTCACTCCGCACCTTGGTCCGGCTACATGTGTTGCTATCGTAACCCTTATCCTTACCTCATATTAAGCATCGTATTTGATATTTGACTAAGTTATTACCTCGTACCAATTAATACTAGCCTATTAGATAGTATACACTAAATCTATGTTAATAATTCTTTTCCTATTATCTACCTCCTTGGTCCGGCAAATAGCATTAAGGCGAGTTCTAACATTGGCCATCCGTTAAAAACACTTCTAATTGAAAGAATTATTAATACATGCAAGACACTATTCTAGAATTGTTCTTTTAGTTAGGGTTTATCTCATTATTTGCCTATGGTTCCCACAACCCTAGTTATGGATTTTAGTTACTCATAGCCATAAACACAATATTCAAATATATTAAATAAGAATTCATGTACTTACTTCAATGAGAAAGAATAAAGTCCGAAAATTTGCTTGATTAATCACCAAAAGTCACTTGTAAGAATCTCAAAATCTAACACTAATACACAAAGTCTAATAATATGATGTCTAATCTAGCAGAATCTAACCTCAAAACGAGGTTTTTCGAACTATTTATAAAAAATAAAAACCTAATTAAACAAGGATTCTAATTACTGGAAATCTGTCAAAACGTGGCTGGGTCGACGGACCTCGCGACGGACCGTCCTGGTCACGACGGACCGTCATGGACTCCGTCGTCCCATACTTAGCAATTTCTTCTGCTGCTCTCTTCATTCCCCTCGACGGCAAGTATGACGGACCGTCATAGGCACAACGGTCCGTCGAGGGTCTTCGTTTCAAAACACTTCAACTCTTGGAATCTGGGTACTGGGATCACTTCTCTGAACTTCATGACGAACCTGCAGGACGGACCGTCATAGACACGACGGACCGTCACAAGCTACGTAACCCCACACTTGGTCAGACTTCCCCATCTTCCTTCAGCAGCTTCTCTACACTGCCACCTACGAACCGTCACAAGCACGACGGACCGTCATCAGCTCCGTAGGTGGTCTCTTCTACATTTCTTCACTCAAAATCTATGCATTCAACTTTGGACAGATTTCCTACAAAACAAAGAGAAACTCATATAAAAACTAGCACAAAAAGACTTTCGGACACACTAAACTTAAGGAAAAAGTATTAATTATACCGTGAAACCAAGATATATCACAACTCAAAAAGTCAAACAAAAAATATAGAAAAAGGAAGAACCAAGAAGGAAGATAATATTATTCAGTTCTTTCATACATAATTATCAATCACCACTGGTATATCCATGTGAAGATCATAAAGCAATGAAAAATTCTTTTAGAATCAAAACATATGATCAAGATAGCATATTTGCAGGCATATGAGAAAAGTTCCAGGAAAAAAATGGAAATTGAAAGTAGAGAAGAGCAATATTATCACACCTGAAGATTTCGAAAGTTGCTTCTAATCTTCTAGGTAAATGACAAAGATGATGAACGGAGGTGATCATAGTTGTGTCTATGGTAAGTAGCAAATGGAGCATGTCTTATCTGCTGAAAAGGGATATATGTATATTAGAAAATATCAAGTAGTACTTGTGTCTTGTTCAACAAAGCGAGTTAAAATACAAAAAAAATTGTATTACTTTTGCGACAACAATTCTACTGAGCTTAATCATATCACTTGCATTTTTGTGAGTCGTGATTTTCCTCTTCCCATAAGCAGATACCTACATATAAGTACCATAAACATTCTACTTATTTTCATCAGTGATGCACTCAAAGTTCTATCGAACATTTGTCGAACACAAATAATTATTAGTAGGTCGAATACTTTCTAATATAAATCTAGAAAATTATCTTATTCATATTCATGAATAGTAAAATAAATTGAAATAACGTCAAGCACGGAAACTCAACAGACATTAGCTGCAAAACAACAAACTTTGTTTCAATATGGGTTGTTCTCTGTATTTCATCCCCTTATCCCTCAAACAGATTGAGAGAAAAAGAATTAAACGACAATCTGTAAATTGTATTCAATGATAAGAATTTCATAGCGGATTTGTTTTGTGGATTTCAGACAATATTTTCAAATTGAACTATCTAATTTAGTACTTGAAATCGTCATTATTAATTCTTTGTTTTGTGAACTCATCTAGAGTTATCAGAAGCAACTTGAATAGTAGCTACTCTTGAGCAACAAACTCGAGATTAAAGAAAAGTGTTAGTCTTATAGGATTCTTCCATTAAGTGGACATTTTATTACTCTCATCTCTCAAAAAAAAAATTCTAGCATCAACATTGTTACTTATTTGCTAGATTTCTTATTTTCGTTTTTTTATTGATCAGATGAAAAAAATTTCTAACATCATTAATTGCATCTTAACTAATATGAACACATGAGGCAGAAACTTTGAGAAAGTATAAGATCATATGACAGACTTGTAGAACTCAATGTAGTAATAGAATTTTCAATATTAATGTTTCAGCTCTTATCCAAGAACTGCTAAAAAATAAATCAACGCCAACATCAAGGGTCATTATCAATAAATAACACAGAATAGCGAAAAAATTCAGTTGTCAAAAGAAAACAACTAAAAAGTTTAAAGCTTCTTAAGAAAATGGGAATGGTACCTTAGAGGACTTGGAGATTGGAGAGCCTGGAAATCAACATTTTCGCCTGATTCAACCTGTTTGTTATTTCTGACTTTGTAATTTAAAATAATTTTTTTTGAAAACCACCTCAGCTAACTATATTAGTAGCTAAATTTTTTCGAAAATGTAGTTCAACTTCAACCAACAAAAAGATCAATAGTGAAAGATTACCCTGAATTTTTAGCATTACCATATAACTTCTTATTTCATGGCAGCATCAAAAAATTCGGCAACTCAGATTCTTTCTTAATAATTACCTTAAAGTTGTGACATCACAGGAAAATAAAATCACTCCAAAGCAGAAACCTTTAACATATAAAAATTACTCATTTTATTGAGGAAAAATACCATATGAAAAACAGATATTAGTGGAAAATGTCTATTCTCTAAGCCCACCGTTCAACTTCATTCCACCAACATAAACAACTCTTGTAACTAATCTCTCTTCATAATACACAAGTCATATCTTCATTGGGAAAATTCGTCAAACATGTGACCACATCAAGCCATTACTTATCTACAAAAAGTATCATATATTTATAAGAAAATACTACTAATTTTTAGTATTTTAGAGCTAGACCTGCATAATATTGACAACAAAATTATGAATGTATTTTAAGAGACATCTGTTAGAACTCACAAGAATCCAAGAAAAATTGTGGAAGACAATTAAGAAAAATATCGGTGCTTCATCAATGCATTCAATTGTCAGTACTTTATTCACGGTGAACAATATTTAAGATGGAAAAAACTAGATGATTAAAAAGGATTTGAATCAAGTTTGCTTAAACATAAAAATGTTTTCGTCTAAATATAAAATATCAGCGTCTTTTCAGTTTAGACTATAAGGTCAAAATATATACTAAAATTTCATAATCTGAAAGAAAAGTTCTTCAACAAATGTCAAACTCATAAAGATGTAGACATCTACAAATAATTATCGTGTTCATGTTGTTAAAACAAAGTTCATCTGAGAAGAAAAGTGACAGAATTAAATTACAAAAAGAAGCAGAATAAGGTAGTTTCGAACATGTCAAAAAAAATTGCTCACATAAGCCATTAAATGTATAATCATACCTTGCCTTTGAAGCTGCTTCTCTACCATTATTTGATACATTAGGTAGGGAACCAGGATATACAATTCTTACCTAATGTATTAAATACACAATCAAGTATCAATCTTTTCACATTCAATTCAAATTAATCAACCCAAACAAAGCTGAAAAAAATCAAAAAAACAAACAAACATTACCATGAAACAAGGTTTGTCAAGATGAAAAAGGGCAAGAACTTTATACAATCCAACAAATATCACTGGATGAAGATAACTCCTTATTCCCTTTTCCCATTTCTACGTCAAATGTCCACATCTGCCGACAAAAAGAAAACCCCAAATTAGTAATAAAAAAATTAACAAAAAAACCCAAGAACCATGAAAAAAACACAAACCCAAATGAGATTCGATGAGCAACTTCAAGGGCTTGCCAGTGTTCATCTGGATTGAAATATGTTTGGACCAAAAAAGCATTAACAAATCTGACAAACAAACACAAGAAAAAAACTTCTTTCAATAAAGGGTGTGTGAATTTGTTGTTTTTGGAAGATTTGGGTATGTTAGTTTTGCTAACAGTAGTTGAAACATCAAGATTCTTCCTCAGAAGAGAAGAATAAACAAATATCAAAAGGTATGAACAAATTTGAACCTGAATAGGAAGAAATTTTTAATTCTCTTTCACCGGCTTTGAGAGAAATAAATGGTCGATTCTTCTTCAGTAATAGGGTTTAGATGGGTAAATATAGTACAGATGTATTATGCAGAGAAAGAAAGTTACACTTGTTAAAATATTACAATACATACATTTTATGAAAATAAAGGTGTACAATTAAACTTGCTTTTGGTACAAATTTGTTTTGCTGTGTTCGTCCCTCTCAACTGTGTCTTCTAAGTAAGGGGAAATATATATATATTTATATATACTAGTAAAGGGGTTAAGGGTTGCTCGTATCGTGCACGGGCTCAATATTATGAGTTAAATATTTATGTAGTCTTTTTAATCATAATTTTTAATAATATTTTTATATATATTAAATATAATTAGTTATTAAGTTAGTTCACTAATTATTTTTAAATCCTTTTGTAGTTAATCAAAAAAATTTCACAAATGTTATTAATTTTAAATTTTTATTAATCTAAAATTATTAATTATATTTTTAATTTTTATTACTATTACTTTACACAGTAATATAAAGATAAAAATAATATTGAACGAAAATAATAAACCTGTCTTGATTTTTTAAATAAATAAATGAAATAATAAATGTGCAAATTATTAAATGACAAAAAATAAATACTAATTTTGAAGAAGCACAAGTTTTTTCCCATCATTTATCTACAACATTAATTACTTATTTCTTAGGTTATTTTTCAAAACTTAAGACTATATATCAGTTAATATGGAGATTATGATGGAAGATATGTCTTAAATATTGATTTAAAAGAGATGTAAAATTAAGATGAAAAACTTTCATATATAGCCACTCAAAATTGCTTAATTATTCTCAATAGCTATAGTTTGATAATTACAATTTGTAGCTACATGTTATAGGGAGGGGAGATGCGAGAGAGACTAGGAGAAAGAGGAGAGGTGAGGGAGAGAAGGTAACGAGAGGGAGAGAGGTGAATTGTATATGTATATCAGCAAGATAATTGTAAATTATACATATGGCAAGCGAGATTGGGAGAGAGAGGAGAGACTCAAGAGAGATTGAGAGAGGGAGGAGAGAGGGCAAGCGAGAGAGGAAAAAGAGAGGGAGTGAGATGAACCGTATATGTATATCGTTTAGATAATTGTATTTTGTATATATGCATTTGTATAATATGACAAGAGAGATTGGGAGAGGGAGGAGAGAGGCGAACGACATTGGAAGAGGGAGGAGAGAGGAAAAAGAGTGGAATAGAGGTGAATTGTATATGTATATCAGTTAGATAATTGCATATTTATATATTTGTATTTGTATATTCAGGCGAATTATACATATACTAATATAGTTAATTATATAAACTCGAAGTCAATCCACTTAATTAATGAATAATGTTAGTCGCGAGTGATAATTATAACTAACTATAATTATGATGAGTAATTAAATAATATAAATTTACTTAAAGCATTATTTTTCCAATTAAAATTAAGTAAATAAGAATAAAGAAATATGAATGGAGCCCACAGAAATGGGCCCCATCTTATGAAGAATCCGCTCCACAGAAATGGGCCCCATCTTATGAAGAATCCTAAAAGGCAAGTTCCACAATTAAAGTAAGTGGATCCCACGTTTTTTCAATTGAAAGAACAAATAACAGCTAAAGGAAAATGAGGCAACCAAGGGGAATAAGCAGGCAGCACAAGACTGTTTGACGGTATGATGCCTGTTATTTTCCTTTTTTATATAGTAATATATTAAAAAAGATATTTCTAAATGCATATTATATGTAATAAAAATGATTAGTTTAAGAATGTCATTTACCTTTTTATTCTCAAAATTTTGACATCTTTTTTTTAAAAATTTATATTATATGATATATTAAAAAAACTTAAAATTATTTCTTAATTACCCATCTATTTTTCATTTTTAAAAGCCCAAAAGTTATTGCCCATCTATTTTTCATTTTTACTCTCAAACTATATACGTCTTACCCTTTCTTCTTGCAGAATTTATTTTTGTTAAAAATCTTCAAACAATTTCACTAAAGAGCCACTATTTTTCATTCGTCTTTCTTTCCGTATCGGATGTTTTAGCATCAATATATTCCTCGCTCTCAACCTCAACTCCTAAGCCATCATTTTGAGATATTAAAAATAAAAATCAATAATTAAATAAAGAAAAGAAAAGGTCAAGACAACAAAAATAAATATGAATGTAGGTAATAGTGTCATATTGCCCTGGATGCACAACTAAAAATTATAATTAAAAATTACGAATGCACATTATATTATTATATATACATAGATCAAGAAATCTATTCTCTTTTTCCTTTTTCTTTTTATTATTATAAAACAATAATTTCTCCTACCATATTATTTATTTCTAAATTCTTTATAATTTCCAAATATTAACCTCTTAATTGCATCTTATAACAACATTAATGAGCAAGGGGTAATAAATAGTAAGGCTTCAAGTAAATTTGAGCTTCCGGTCGGGTAACTAAAAAGAAATCCATGACCAAGTTACGAGAGATATAAGGTGGACTTGTTCCCCTTTTACCCCTATCACCAGAACTACTTAAGCTGGTTGTTCCAAAAGCAAAAATCAAATTTAGAATCAGAGGTATTTCACGTACAAATTCAGCAGCTAATACCCAAATAAAATTCCAAGACCCAAGGCAAGAAAATATCACAATCAAAGCAACAAATAATCACCATTTATAATTTAATCCTTGAACCATCCCACAATGTAAAGAACTCCAATATGACTGGACCAAAACTGTGACAAGAGTGTCTCCCTGACGACCCTTGAGCTTAAAACTCATTTGATGCCAAAAAAAAAAAAAAAACCTGATCACCAACAATTCTATCCTTACTGAAGGGGGACTCAAAATGCAACCCTTTTAATATACACACTCTACAAAAAGAGGAAAAGGTTTCCAAGCCTTCGCTCACACTCTTTTGACCAAAGTAACAACAGGCTGATGCATGACCTCAAAAGCCCAAATGAATAATAATGTTTGCAAGAAAGAATTGATAATCAAATAGTTGAAACCCAAGAAGCTTCAGCCTAGCAAACTTCCATTGCATTCGATTTTGTCATGATCCAAAACACTACGATGATAGAATGGATTGCAATGCTATCTGCTGCTGAGGCTGCAGGGAAGACCATGTTGAGGCCAGGGTGGCTGGTGGTAATGTTTGCTGAAGCTGCCTCAGCAGATTAATCATCCTACTGGCTGTTTGTTCAGTAGCAAGGTCCTTACCAGTACATAGAACCTACACAAAAAGCATATACACATTTACACAATGGCAGCAGCTACATGAAAATCAAATATGATCAAGTGAAATCCAGAAGGACAATCATGTTAATTGAGGGGGGAAAAAAACCCCAAAAAGAAAAAGATAAGAAAAGCATTTCACTGGAGCCCCGAAATAAGGAGATCAAGGAGCAAGAACCACAACTTGAAATTTCGATCCAACCACTGGTTCGACATGGGGAGTCTAGTATAAGACAGCTACCTTAATTTACCAAAGATACTTGACCTATACAAGAAGATTTAATAACTCACAAGATTTAATAACTCACCTCAGCAAAAACTGATACAATTTTTGGAAGGTTCTGATTGTTAGGACCCAGAAGTTCTACATCTGACCTGCAAGCAAGAAAATACGGTAATATGTAAGAACTAGATAAGACATTAAAACATCATATATGTCAGCAAGTTGAATTAATGCAGATTGGTGAATGTCAAAACATGTCAACATGACTCAGATCAACCACCCATAGATCAAAGAAACATTCCACTGTTACATACACTGGGTAAGTGACAAAAATCACACTTTATTAGAAGGTAAGATCAAAGAAACATTCAACTGTTACATAAACTGGGTTAATGACAAACTCTCACTTTATTAGAAGGTACATCAGGCTCTTCCTAAATATTGGAAATAAATAGCTTATGATTCACATAACTGAATCGGTCTTAGCTTGGGATTAAGGTGCAGTTGTTGTCATTGCATAATCAAACTTGATCGCAGATATGATCAACCAAACTGTTATAAACCGCCTAAGTGCCCGTTTTCTGATTTATGATCACAATTCACATAGCTCCATTGAGACTGCTATAAACCGCCTAAGTGCTCGTTTGGATTGGTTTTTTTAAGTGCTTTCAAGTCAAATAGATCCTAAGCACTTTGGGAGTGTTTGGGTAAATTCAAAAAGTGCTTATAACTTGCAAGCACATTAAAATGACAAAGATAAGCCAAAAGTCATAACAGAAAATTGCTGTAAATAAGTCGGCCAATATACTGTTTGACAGACCCAAAACAATAGCTGCAAAATGCATGGCTTGTTCATAAAAATTTGAAAAAGAGGTTGATCTCTATCCAGATCTTTCCACCGTCTCCAAGGCAAGAGAAAAGGCCAAAGGATAAAGAGAGAACTCATATAATACCTTTCAACCATTGAACAGAGTTGATCATGAACAACCTTGGCCTCTATCAGGTCACCTTTTATAGGCAGGCAATTCAACCAAGCAGGAACAACCTGACAAAAGTCATAAAAATAAGAACTTTGAACAGTTATAACAAGGTACTTCATTGGTTCATGAAGTCTGTGCAAAGGACTTTGAGGACTAAGGACAAAGAATTTGCTCATGTTGGAGATGAAGATTGTGTAGGAAAAGTGAAAAACATCATATCTTCAAAAGCTGATCATATCATTTATTTATCAGAGGGGTTCGATTTGTCTCCCTTGTTCGAGGAAAAGAAGAAGATGGAGAAGGAATAGTTGGGATTTGCAACAATAAAGCCAGCAAGCAGTGTGATTTCGAAGCTCAAAAAGTGGCTAAAACATCAAAATTCAGCTAAAGGAGGAGTGGTTTAGTGTTATAGATTGCAGGGGGGAGAGAGTGGGATGGAAGGAAAATTAGGAGATTTTTGCTGATATATTTGCTGCGACACCTTTTCTGGTTATGGAGGTGAAGAAAGCTAGTCTCTACGTGCAAAAGCTACATATGTTAGATAAATTTTGACATGCGAGCACATGTACAATCTAGGAGAGACTTAAAAAAAGCAAGTGCACTTAATACTCAGGAAAGTACAGAAGCTAAAGACCAAAGAGATTCAAATATAAACTGATGATTGATCTAGATTTTTTTCACAACTCCAATAGAAAACGAAACAATACGAGTATCTAATGAAAATGTTTTACAGCCGCCCAACAGTTATTATTCAGTACAGTA